GGGGGCAGCCTCCCCGACGTCTACACCTCCGAGCTCCGGGCGGGCAGCCTCCACGACGTCTACACCTCCGAGCCCCGGGCGGGCAGCCTCCACGACGTCTACACCTCGGGTGGGAGCACCGCTCCGTGTCACACATGCAGAAGCCAAGCCCAGAAACTTATCGCCACGGGTCTGTCTGACCCCAGAGCTGTGTGCTCGCACCCACTCCCCTTTTCTGTCTGTCAGGGAAGAGGAGGCAGGAGCCCCCCGAAGTGGTCAAACGGTGACCCCGTCTCCACTCCTCTCCCCTGGGGTTTTGGGCACACATGCTCTTACCTTTCAGTGCGTGGGGGCAGGGCCAGGGTCTGACAGGTCGGCCACATGGGTCCGGCGCCCTTGGCCCCGGCCACAGGCCGGCCTGCCCTTCCCGGTCTTTCTACGTGAGTGGCTCTCGCACTTGCAGCACCGCACCCACATCCCTGGGCGCAGCAGCAGTGCAGCAGGCGGGCTCCTACCCCGACCTGTCACCAGGATCCGCATCCCCTCCAGTGCTCCCTGTCAGACGGAGGGGCCTTGAGCAGGAGGAAGTCTGGCGCCCCCTCTTGGTCTTGCCTCGACACCCGGCCTTCCAGACTCACTTGTCTTCCTGCCCGGCCACCATAGCCTTTGAGACCCTGTGCAGCCAAGCACACCGGGGTGACGTGTGAGTGTCCGCTTTAAGGTCCCTGCTGTGGGTGCACTGCTCCCTCTGTGACCAGCGGGCACTGGCCCACAGCACTCGACACAAAGTGGTCTCCAGCTGCCAACCTCCTGCCTCTGCCTCCCAAGTGGCTGGATTTACAGGCAAGCACCACTGTGCCCAATCGCTAATTGACTTTTTCTCTTTCTTTCTTTCTTCTTTCTTCTTTCAGAATTATTAATTTATTTATTCATTCATTTATTTTAATTTGACCAGAGAGAGATACACAGAGAGAGAGAAAGGGAGGGGAAGTGAGAAAGCAAGCCACCAGGTCTGGGACTTGGACCACGGTAGGCCACGTGGGCATGCCCAGCGCCTTAACCACCACGCCACCCTCTGGTCCCTATTAATTGACCTTTAAAATCATGCACCTATGGGGTGAAGGTGCTGGACTCCCACATAGCTAGCTTACCAGTTTGAGTCCTGGACCCCATAGCTTGAAAATCACGCTGGGTGCGTGTGAATGCCCAAAATCTCGAGAGAAGAATGGAGAAGGGATTGCAGCGTGGCCTCCCCTGGGGCATGATTCCTCTCCCTCTCTCTGTCTCCTGGGCGATCGCACGCACTCCCAGCGAGGCTGATTATAAACACCAGAGCCGGTAAGTCCCGTAAGACGGGAAAAGCTGCAGCTCATGCCCAGCAGCCGCTGTTTCATCAGGCCTCTCTTCTCTGCAGTCACCAACGGGGGGACACCGCCTGAGGTGACCTGAGCCCCGCCCTGTCCTGGCCAGCCCAGTGTGCCACAGCGTGCCCACCACGACTGTGTGTACAGCAACCCACCTTCAGCTCTGCAGAGGAAGTCCCAGCGGCTTTGTGTGAGGCAGACAAGTGGCCCCCAGAGACGTTAGAATGGTGACCGACCGAGACACGGCCACGCCAGAGGTGCCACTTCTCGCCAGTCGGACTGGTGGGGTCCCTACGCACACTCTCGTCCCGTCCTTCCCTCGTCAGGGGACCTATGTCATGGGCTGTGAGAGAATTCAGACTCAGAGTAATGGATAGAAAAAGGTTTATTCACTTTCCAAAGGGAGGCAGGGGCATTGGCCCCGAGGTGTGGGCCTTAGGGACTTTTTTCTTTTAGAGAGATTTTTGCTATAGGGCACGTGCACTCACTGGAGAGGCAGAGACAGAGAGCAAGATATCACCCCTTAGGGAGGATGGCCACACCGCAATCCCTTCTCCCCTGGGATCTTGGGCATGCATGCACATGTGCCAGTGTAGGCTTGAAGCCACCAAGTCTGGGACTTGAACCACATCAGCCATGTGGGAGTCCAGTGACGTAACCATTATGCCATCTGCTGGCCCAAGGCATCAGGGACTTTTAAAGGAGAGGGATTTGGGGTGGGGTGCTTATCTCCGGGGAGTCGGCCATCAGCAGGACACGAAGCAGCCCCTGATGTCCCCTCTGATCCCAAGGACTTCCCCAATGGGGCATGTCCCCTCCCAGCAGACCAGCCAGACCCAGCCCTCAGGCCTCCATCCCTGCCTGCCACGGGCACCCAGAGTCGCTGGAGCCTGGGACAAGGGACAGATGCCAGCACTGCGGGATGGCTTCTGTGAGGACACCCAGGTCTCGGTGTTTCGGACCGTGAACAAGACATGCTGATAGCAAAAGGAAGAGGTGAGTTGTTAAGTGAAGGTAAAAGCACAGCTCCGAGGGAAAGGGGTGGAGGCAGGGGAGGCTGGAGAGGACAGAGAGGCTCGAAGGCCTGCAGTCACAGTCGGCAAAGTTGATTTTCTTTTTGAGGTTTTTGCTACAAGGTGCATGGCCACCCCGGGAAGTCAGCCCCAGGGGATGGCCGCCAGGCCACCCCACCCCATTCTTCTCTTGGGAGTTGGACACGCATACACATGCACCCAATGTGAGGTTTTCGTTTTAAAGAATTATATTAATGGGGCCAGCAGGTGGCATGGTGGTTAAGGCACTTGACACTCCCACATGGCTGACCGCGGTCCAAGTCTCAGACCTGGTGGCTTGCTTTCTCACTTTCCTTCTCTGTGTGTGTGTCTGTCTTTCTCTGGTCAAAGTAAAAAATATATGAACGAACGAATGAATGAATAAATAAAATTAAATAAATAATTCTCTTTTAAAATTATATGATTTATTTAACATTATTTATTTATTTAAAATTTGACCAGAGAAGGACAGAGTGAGAGAGAGAGAGGGGGGAAAGTGAGAAAGCCACTGGGACTCGATCCACAGCCCACCGTGTAGGAGTCCAGAGGCCTTAACCACCACACCACCCCGGCCCCCCAGCATGAGTTTTAAACCAGGAGGTCTGGACTGGACTGATCTAGTACGTGGGAGTCCAGCGACATAACCATTACAGCATCTGCTGGTCCCCGGAAGGTCTGTAACTTTTGATCCAGGTCGTCTGAGTCATCAGCGGCCAGGTCACCCTCCTGGGCTCTATCTCCTGAGGCTTAACCAGCTGCCCCCCACCTCCCTACATCAACCTGGGGGAGACTCCCAGCGGCACAGCGTTGTCCTCTCACAGCGCCTGAGCCCTGAACAAGACGCCAGGGCTTGTGGGGAGCTTTGCATGTTCAAGAGACCTGGGGGTAGACCGCCCTCTCCCGGAGCACAGTTGGGCGTGGCTGCACCACGCAGGGCAGGCTGCACGACGCCGTGGAAGGCTCCCGCGTGGCCGGCCCGGCGACGAGTGAAAACTCCGCCCGCACCCACCCTGCTGTCCACCAGGGGGCAGGCTGGACGGGCCCGCACGTGGGACAGCAGGTGTCCAACATGCACACGCAGAGCTGCAGGCGGGCAGGCGGGTCCAGATCCGCCCGGCCAGCTCTGCTTCCTGGATTCTGATCCGTTTTAACGGCGAAAACACATTAGGAAGGGGAGGGCGACATGGGAAGCCGTTGCTTAAAGGGCAGCTCTCTGAAGACCCCGGGCCGCGGGCCACACCGAGCGCAGTACGGCCCCGCCCCGGCCCCGCCCCGCGAGGCCCCAC